AATCTCAGAATTCTGAGATTTTTTTTTCCCATACTAAACTGAAATAAAATTTAAAACTCAGTTAATTTTTTTTTTCCCACTGGCCCTAATCCTCTTCCGTACCTTTTAGATTCCCTCCATGGCGCAGATAAAATAAATAGTTTTATGTGAACAAATATGGAAGTAATTTAATAAAAGTAAGTAAATTAATCACTATTATATTGATCATTTATTACAGCAGATGTGAATTTTATTTATACTTTGCTTCTCCTTTTTAGCGCAGCTTTGTGGTAAAACCTAACCTCTGTGTAAAATACAGTAATGTGTATTTGACTTATGGGTCCCTCTAATATTTATTTAGCATTTAGATTGTTTCTTATATGTTAGCGTTGCATATTCATACAAAAATATCTGGTGTTATAAAAACATTAATAAACATTTTTGCTCTTGCAAGAGTTGTCATAAAATACAACTTTATTCTTGTAATTTTATAACAATTTATAAATATGTTGCTCAAAAACATGAGCTGAGGCAGAGGACGCCAAACAGATGAGGGAGGGGTTTCCATAGTGAGGCCCCAGGGCCCAAAATGGCCCCTGGGAGGAATTTATAGGGTTTTCCTGTCTGATGCTGAAGCACATTAAATGATAAATATTAGGGAGACTTTAAAAGGAAAGAGCAAAAATGAAAAGCTTAAACTTTAACCGTTTAAACTCAAACTGGACTGTTGGTTTTAAACAGTTTTTTTTAAATCTGCCACCTGAATTATTCGACTGTTCAGCTCCTCAAACTTGGCTGAAAAAATCATCTGGAGACTGAAAAACATAAACGCGCTAAAATTTAAATACCTGGGAGATTATATGAGAGCGTAATTATTTAATTAGATTATTTTATTTTTATTATTGATGTTTTTTTCCTGTACAGAATAGACTGTTTTGCTATTTTATGATTTTAGTTTGTTGTCCAGCAGGTAGAAATATTTAGAAAAAATTCAAATTACAATAGTTTTTGCATTTTCATCTTTTTTCCCCATTAAGAAATTTATTTACAAAACTGGTGTTTAGAAAACAAACAATCATTTATAAAACTAACAATGTGTCACAGAAAGAAGCTGATCAGGTTATCCTGTTAGCAGCTAGCTGCTACGTTAGCTAAAAAGATGGCTGCTGATTGATTGTGCAGAAGTCGGTTTAACCTCCAGCTGGTCTCCTTCAGGCTGGACGGGAACCTGCAGAGGCTGCAGACCACCTGGCAGACCATGTCTGTGGACCTGAAGAGTCTGTTATCCTGGCAGTACCTGATGAGAGACATCCACATCATCAACTCCTGGAACATCACCATGGTAACCGCAACGCACACGGCCCCACACAGACATGGAGCGTCTCAGGAGGCGTTCGCTGGCCCCAGTTATTACAGGAAGAAACTTTGGACTTTTCCTGTGAGAAGTCATTAAATTGTGATTAAATCTCGTTAACTGAGACGTGGATTAAATTGTTGGATGTCCACATTTGAACTTTATTGATAAAGCAAGTTTAAACCAGAAGCAAGAGTAGAAGAGAAGAAAGAATCCAATTTAAAGCCAATCAAATCACTAAAAGCAGAAATAAAAGCACCAATTGGTCTGGGCTCAATTTTTATTGTTAAAAAGATTTTTTTTATAAAAATAAAAAAATTGTTTTCAAAAAATTCAAAAAAATAAATGTCAAAGTTCTAAAAAACCTTTTTTGATTAACACCTTTTTCCAGATATTCTGGATTTTTTTTTCATTTACCAAAGATGTTTTGCTTTGCTTCTTTTTATTGAAGCCGTTTGGAGGCGGAGCTTCAGTTCTGGCTCCTCCCCGGTTCTCTGACCCAGGCTCAGACTGGTCCTCTGTGATCCTGGGCATCTGCCCGGTGGGCCGGTAGGCCTACTGATTTCAGCGTGCGAGGACCGGCCCTCCTTAAATCATACCGGCCCCTAAGCTCCTTCCTGTGACAGTAAATAAGTCAAGCAGTAATCCAATGTTAACTACCTAAATGATGCAGTATATATAGCCCTTCCTAGTGACAGTTGGCATATGGTGTCATTTTCTATTTCTTCAAACTGTAAAATCCTTGCAACAAACTAAATTATAATAAAACTAAATGTTTTCTTTAAACCAATCTACGATGTTCCTCTTATATTTGGCGAATTTATGTTCGATAATTTTACAAAAATATGTTGCGGTGAATGATGGGGTTTAGCATCTAAAGGCTAAAGTTTCCTGTCTTACCTGCATTGTTGTCAGGTTGGGATGTTTAGCATCAGTAGAGCTGCTGGTTTCATTGATTTCAGTCTGTTGACTAAAGGAAACATTTACCCAGAGATGGCAAAGTACTCACTTTCCGTACTTGAGTAAAAGTACAGATACTTGTGTTAAAAAATACTCTGGTAA